ATTCAATATAGCGAGATTCACCACAAGTTGTGCATTCTAACAAATTCATTGTATCTTTATAGTAAATCATGCAATTGTTCGGACACACATCGATTTTCACCATCGGTAGACCTAATCCTTTCATCATATGTTTCACTTGATAAAAACTTTGTGGTAAACAGTTATCATTAGGCAACACCTCTTTGAAAATACTAAGTATTTTGCTGAAACATGTATCCGACATGTTATATTGACTTTTAACACTTAGTAATTGTGCCACTATTGACAATTTTGTGAACTTTTGGCAGCCTTCATATAATGGTGTTGATGAATTAACAATCATTTTATAATATTGTTCTGCAGAAAAGTCTTGATTCCCGTTACATTCAACCTCGTTGTTCTCATTATTCCCTTCATTATAATCATCCTCATCATCAAAATTAGGTTGATTGTCCTCATCACATTCTAAAGCATAATTATGATTATACACTGGCCCAACATGTTCAAAAATCATTTGCTCGAAATTTGACTCAAATATATTTGGTGACTCCTTTTCAGGTTCATATCTTTGAGAGTTTGATGTCTCCCCTTTGAAAAAATCAGAAGATGTTCCCAACTCTTCACCATGACAATACCAAACCTCATAATCCTTCATGAATCCATTCTTTCGCAAATGCTTATCAATTTTAATAGAACCCCAAAAATATCTTAATCCACATTTCTTACAGGGACATTTTACCATATCTTCATTATTGGCAAATGCAGCTTTCATAAAATCTTGAACACCATTTAAAAATTCGGGATTTATCCAACCATTTTCCATCAAACGTTTTCCCATCCATTCCCTTCTATTTGACATTAGTAACTAACCTACAAGAATTTAAAAAATTATATAATTAAATTATAAAAAATTCATGAATATGCTAATTTTTGTATAAATTAATTGAAGAAGTATTTCAATCAATAACATAATTAAACTAAACGTAACTACAAAAATTTATTATCTAAAAATTGATTTAAATATACAACTCTTGCATTTTAATAGATGAATAATAATAATAATAAACAAAGAATAACTCAAAATCCAATATTCTATAAAATATAATTACATACCTGAGATATGGGACTGTAAATTTTCTGATGAAGTAGAAGCAATAAAAAGATTTTTGAATGAGGATAGTCCTCATATTCAAGATGAGTATAAATAGGTAAATAAAATAAAAATGAAAGATAATGTTTAAGGAAGAATAAAAATTCATAAAAAGAAAAGTATATTAAAGATTGGAAGATAAGAAAAGAATGACTTCTGAACACAAGATACTGTACTAAAAATATAAGCTTCATCAAGAGACGGATATTGGTCTCTCATACTTGTCTCAACTTCTGAGACAGATATCCGTCTCTTTTTTTGGTCTTTAGTTTTTGAGACGGAATTCTGCTCCTTTTTTCTGTCTCTCTATGTGAGACGGAAATCTGTCTCTTTTTTCTGTCTATTCTGCACTTACATTCTTGTAGTGAATGACCGTACTAGGGTTAACCAAACATTTAGTGGACGAACTAAAAGTTTCAAGATTTATATATCGACGTACTCTGACCATGTACTGTCACGTTTTTATCAAGTAGGTCAAACCACTTTCAAGGCCGGACCGTGTCCATGTGGATGAGCCTATAAACAATCATACCACAACGTGCGCACGAGAACCCGACGATGACCCCGTGGGTCTAGGGTGCACTTCTGATTACTGGACCCGAGGTCACGGGGAGGTATCCGAAGTAAAACTATGTATCGACTAGTGCGGGGTTCCAGCCTAGTCACGGCTTAGTCTTTAATCTGTGGTTAACCTAGTAGGTCAAGAGTTTTCTAAATGTCTCAAAGTATCTATTCAAAGTGAAATTATTTCCCTGATGACGTTAATTATGTGAAAAGTTTTTTTTATAAAAAAACAAAACTTAATAACTTAACATGCCCCAAAATATATTTACATGTTATATATGTCTACTGGTTATTTGCCACTCAGCTTATGCTGAGCGTGTAGTGTTTAACTGCACGCAGGTACTAGCAAGGGGAACAACTGCTGAGAAGGAAAGCATGGACGCGGAGGCGGTGCTAAGGAAGGAAATTCCGTTTTAAATAAATAAATGAATAAATTCTTGAACATGTTTTTGTTTGGGCTTGGACCCTAAGTTGTATTTACCTATGAACGTAATTGCTCTTTTACTTACTCACAAATCTTCAAACTCTTCATTATCGAAATGAGAATTTATTTTAAATAAGTAATGTTTTACTAAGCAACCGGGTTTTACTAGCACTCTGGACTGGATGACTCGGGTCATCCAGGGTGGGGTGTTACACCTCCCTACCAACTCACTATTGGGTGGAAGCCCTTTACACCTCTATGTACCTTCATAATGTCCTTCCATGCAAACTCATTAGTTTTCAAACCCCAACAGCAACCGTATATCTAAAAAAACCCCGATTATGAACACTCTCGCGTGTTTGGTTGTGCCTGCCACCCAAACTTGTCTAACATCCGTCCTAAAAAATATGCTCCTAGGTCTTCACCTTTTGTCTCTCTCGGGTACCCCACCGACCATTGAGGGTACCGCTGCCTTAACACACCCACTAAATAGAATCATCTTTTCTTGTTACGTTACCTTTAATGAACTCGACTTCCCTTATTACTGAACCTTTAAACCGCAACCCAAATCTTACAACTTCTTGGAATCTGGCCCTTCTCCAATTTTATTTAATCAACCTCTAAACCCATGGCCTCCACTCAACCTCTAAACCCGACCACTCCACCAGCCCCCCGCATACCCCACCAACCAGCCCTACACAATGCACTGTCCCACCTCAACCCGTAAGCCAACATTTACCTCCAGCCCAACAAGCCACTCCTAACACATGGGCCTAACCTACCTTCACCTACTCTCTTCGCCCCCACGGCCCGACATCCAATCCATTTTCACGGCCCAACCTTTCCGAACCGTACCCATCTCATCCATACCTACACCGTGGATTGCTCCCACCCCATTAGAACCCACCCACTCAACACCTCCCATGATCACTAGACCAGGTCTTTTGATGGCACATCCAAACCAAAGGCACCCTTTAATTTAAATGTTGAAACCATCTCACCACTACCTCCTGGCTTTGTTGATAATCATAATCTTAAGTATGTGTGCAAGTTGAAAAAGTCCTTATATGGGCTTAAGTAGGCACCCTGGGCGTGGTACCATCAATTTGCCACCTATATTCTCAGGTGTGGGTTTCGCGCATCCACCTCTAACAACTCTCTATTTATTTATAAACGGGGTACTTACATGCTTACCTAATATTATATGTGGATGACATCATCCTAACTGCCTCTAATGATCGTCTGTTACAACAACTCTACACTTAGTGCTTCAGATGGCGACCTTCTTCCTGATGGAACTTTGTACCATAGCGTAGCAGGTGCTTTGTAGTACCTCACTTTCACCCGCTCGGACGTTTCATATGTCGTTCAGTAGGTTTTCCTTTATATGCATGCCTTGAGGGAGCCACATTTTACCTTTCTTAAACGTATCATGCGCTACCTCAAGGGCACAGGTGATCAAGAGGTACACTTCCCTCCAAGTTAGTCCAACTTACTACATATACTAATGTTGATTAGGGGGATGTCCTAATACACGACATTCGATGTCTGGCTATTATGTGTTTCTTAGGGAAAACTTAATTTCTTGGTCTTCCAAGCATCAACCCACTATTTCACGCTCAAGTGTTGAAGCAGAATATCGAGGTGTTGCCAATTCTACTATAGAGCTTTCTTGGATCGGCCATCTTCTCCTCGAGCTGCATCTTCTGGAAAGACAATCCTCTCTCATTTGTTGTGACAACATTTCTACCATGAATTTGTAACATAATCTAGTTCAGCACCAACGCACCAAACACGTGGAAATTGACATTCATTTTGTGCGAGAAAAAGTTCATCTTAGTGCTATTCACATTTTGCACGTTCCTACCAAGTACTGGTATGTAGAAATATTCACAAAGGGAATTCCGCGCATCCTATTGAACCGTTTCAACTCCAGTCTTTGCATTCGTCCGGCTACTGCTTTGACTGCGGGGGTCTATTAGTAGGGATTATGTTTTACATTATTTATGTATTTATTGTAATTGCTTTGTAATTATCTCCTTGATTTCAGGAGATACACTTTCTTATTTCTCATGCAATTCTCTATTTATACTCATCTTAAGATATCAATGATAATCAATCATTCAAAAAACTTACAGATACCAAACATGTTTATGGAGTTTGTAGAAACTCTCTTACTCTACAGGGCCCACGTCAGTGTAATAGCACTACACTAAATCACTAGATGCAAATTACGTTGATACATAACAATATGACAAGACACACCTCTTAAAATTATTATGACAAAATATCTAATCTAGAATTTCTAACTCCTACCCAGTACAAATCTACTTTGGCCATCCCATCCTCACTGAGATTACTAGGACAAACATGGTTTGCTGCCCTGTTGTTAGATCAGGTTCATCTTCTAAATGTTATGATTATTTTAGCGTTGACGATTTCTTTCTTCATGTAGATCGTAACTTCTTCATGCAAGGATAGATCTAGGACACGATGAGAATGCTCTTAGATCAACATGTATTTTGTGTTTTTTCTTCACAATCAATCCAAGGAATTCCCGATCTCTCCTGCGTATATATAGGTCTCTTCAAGCCAATCCTAATAGGAATAGGTATGTATAAGTTGTCTTGAGCACAACTCTTTTAGTATTTATATCTAAGAAATTTGATTAGGACTCTTTAACACAGCTGGCCATTAATCGAGAACTCCCAATAGGATTAATTCCAAAAATTGTAGAATCACAACTTAAATTCCTATAGACATACTTCTGATCCCGTATAGTGTGCTGTAACATTATGATGTAACATCTTCTATGTCACCCTTGAAAAAATAGTAGTTTTAAAAAAGCTAAAATAAAAAAGCTATCCTAACAAATAAAGGTTCCTACCTTGTGAAATTTCTAACAAATATGAGTTTCTATTTTGACAAAAGCTTAGCCAACAGCTTGATATTAACAATCTCTCTTTTGGCATTTTTTGGCAAAACACATCGTGAAACGCCCTGAAACCCGGCCTATCAGGATTAATTAATTAAAAATAACTAATTAATTACTGAGACGGACTCGTTAGAAGTTATAAATATTCTTCATTTGACAATAAGGTTTATACCGTTGTGTAGGGTTTGACGGATCGAATCTAACAGTGAAATTGGATTTGGAGCCCGTGGGCCCAGAAAATGCGTTTGGGCCAGGTACATTCAGTTAATACGGAGCCCAAAACCCCCAAAAGTATAAATATAACCCTTCACACGCCTAAAGCCCTACGCCTCCATAACATTACGTAACATATCTCATCTCTCTCTCTCTCTCTCTCGTGTCTCTCTCTCGCCGAACGGAACAAAGCAGAAGGACGAACGCAGCAGCAGAAGAAGAAGGAGAGAAGAAAGAATAAGAAGAAGAAGAATAAGGAGAAAGAAGGAAAGAAGAAGAGTTCGACGCCGTCGTTCGTTGGTATTATCTCGTATCTTTTAATCATCAAATTCGAGGTTAGTACGTGGACATCTAACGTATGGTTGTAGTCATAGGTTTGAATCTTACGTTCGTAGAATCGTTACGGTTGATCTATTTGGACTATACGTGAATTATGCCTTGTTTATGTCGTTTACGGTTTGAAAAGCATGAATTGGTTTAGAATTGTTAAGGGATTGTTAGATAGTGTTTGATTAATGATTTAGAACCTGTTTAAGCTTATCTTTTCTGAAATTGATGTTGTTTAATGGGTTAAAACGGAGCTGGTGCAAATCAGGTGTTCGCCGTGATAGACGGTAGGTAGGTACCGTTGACACGGTACCTGGCTACCGCCAGCTTCCCCGTTTTCACCTTGCTCTGCCGGTACCTGTCACCAAACGGTACCTAGGTACTAGGTGGGCGGTAGGCCCTACCGCCTGGCTGGTAGAGGCTACCGTGACAGCCTACTGGTGGGGTATTCCAGCTAACATGGACAGTACCCACATACCGTGGGGACGGTACTCTGGTACCGTGGGGTCAGTAGCCCCTACCGCCAAGGGTACCGTGAGGTAACTGAACTGGTCTGAAAT